ATTGCTTCGTCGTAAGACGTCGCTCTCGAAACAGAACAACTTTTATTTCAAACACGTTTCCCAATAATGAACAGTTGCGGAGGTAATTTTACGTGGATGAATTGAAATACGAGTCGACGATTTAATTAGACTGTTCGACGATTTTCTTCGATACTAGTAAGATCAATGATATTTCTGTCTCCAATGGAACGTTCTTTTATGCTTCTTAAACCCTTGGCTTACGATTTTCTTTTCAGTTTTAAGGAGTAAGCATTATTTATCGAGACTGTAACATTAATTAAAAGTTGTCAATGTTCAGTTTAATCTGATTTAAATTTCACAGGTGTGCAATTTGCTTTTTCTTTTAAATCGAGACCTTAAATTGTGCGACTCGATATCACGAGTCAAGGGGTTAATTTTCTTCTTTCTCCTTTTTTAGGTAGTTGACACTTAACTAAACATTGAAATCAATACATCTGTGTTTCTTTTTATACGGTGGATACGTATCGTTTTATTCATCGTTGCTTTTTATTATACAGGATATCTCGGTTCAATTCATCCGCGTAATTATCTCCGCAACTGTTCATTATTCGAAAACGTGTTTGAAATAAAACTTGTTCTTACGATGATCATCAGATATTTATTTAAATGGAGATGTTTCCTAGAATTCACTTTTACTTTCAGCTTTTAATTCAATATCGTTTTGTGCAATTTCGAACAAAACGTATAAAAAAAGAGATTGTGCAACTATGACTCATGCGGGACATTCACAGAGTGTTAAATCGTTAATTCACGTAGAATTTTGAAATATTCTAAAGCGTTTCAACCTAACGAATAGTATTTAGTTTTCACTTTCGCAATTAAATAGCAAAAAGTAATTTCTTTTTCTGCATGGCGAGTACTGTTGTCAAACAAAGTTGACAGATTATTCTACCATCTTGTTACTCTGTTGGACATAATGGATTAAAAGTGTCACACCTTTTTAATATCCTGATACCACACAATGGGATATTTTCCAACTCGTCCCGAAAGATTAAAATAACTGGAAGTACAGAGGTCTATGTTATGTTCACGCTCAGTTTGCTCAGCTCCGACAAATTCTATTAATTGTTATTAATTTCTAGTTTCCCTCGTTCTGTATCATTCTGCACGTTTAAGAATAATGCTGCTTGTATGCGTTTCGTTATAGAAATAAAATTGGAACTTCTTTTGTGCCTCGAACGAAGAGTTCGTTATCTTCGTGTCTTTATATTTTCGTTTAACAACTTAATCTTCCTCGTTTGTACTCATCTATCAAAATGTGCAAAATTTCTTCGCTTTCATTTTCTTAATCGCTGCAATAGAGAATTATTGCGTAACATTTTCGCGAAAGTATATTCGAAAGTGCATGTGTTCGGCTCGGTAGAGTAAAAGAACGTCGATTCTTTTCTTCGTTCGAGAAACGAAAGAAGAGAAACGCGAAAGTAATAAAATCCTAGAAAGGAGAGTGCATTTGGTCGTTAGAAAAGTGCAGCGTTTCCTTTGGCATTTTCACGAGACCGAGCTCTGTTTGCCGGACGGATCGAGCACAGACTGTCAGAGGAGTTCCCTTTAGAAGCTCGTGCTTCTGACATATTATCTATAGGATTTGCCTCACGCTTTAATATGACAATGGAAGTTTTAATACGACGACGTGCCCTTTGACAGGTATCTCTTTTGTTCCTCTCTCGTTAGAAATCAAGAGGATTTTCTCTCTCTCTCTCTCTCTCTCTCTCTCTATCGCGCGCATGTGCGCGTATCGAGAAAAGTAGCCTGGGTTTCAAGTTCGTTCATTCTCTCGTTTGATAATAAGAGATAATTCGAGCATGATCAACCAGCGAGCTTTTCGACGTCACGCGATCCGTTTTGCCTGTAACAACTAGAGATGAGATCGAGTGCGTAAAACCTACCTCGCGAATAGATTCCAACTCTTTCCAAGAGTACCTAATAAGTGGAATAGTTCTCATAGAAAGTACTTTCAGAAATGAGAGCTTCCTCGACTTTTCACGAAATATGTTTCTGTTTTTTCTACGATTTCCACGATTTTTCGAATGTTCCTTCGATTCGATTCCGCGAATGCTGTCGCTCATATAATAAACATTCAACAGCAAAGATTTCTTAATTAAAACTATTATTGATGTATTAAATTTAAATCTTTAAAATCCAAGAACGCGAAAGATGTTAGAATCGTGAATGGTTTCAATTTTCAAACCAGGGACTGTATACTTACGAGAATATTTTCGAAACCAGCTCGTACGAAATGAATATGTTTCACATATGTACGAGTATGAGAGTAATTTATACGCAACGAAACTTAGATATTGAATTTAATTTAGATTTGTAAGTATACACATTGGATTTGATTCTTTAGTAATAACCAGCGAGTCGAACGTTTGGAATTTAATCGAATTCCTCCTTACCGTCGAAATGGTCGCAAGTATGTCGCGCGTTTTCAAAGTTTTTTTGTTTCCTCAGTTCTCTGTGCAACCGGAAGGATGATTCCTTGCTTCGTCTTCTTCTGTTTTGTCCCTATTATCTTCTCTGATGGGTGCACGTTCTCCTCTTTCGCGGAGAAAATTTAATAAGCAAAAGACCCTTAAGGAAAACGGAGCCAGCAAAACAGGAAATATGTATCATCTCATAATTCGATCTTAGCGATTCTTTATGGTTCCGGAATTGAATTTTCAAATAAGAATCGCTTTCGTTTGTTAATTCGTCGGGGAAGAACGAATTTGCAGAAATTTAATGGAAACTCGCGATTTTACTTTGTTATTATCAGAAGGGGAATTGAAAATTTTTGCAAAAATTTACGATTAGTTGTATTTTAATAGTTACAGAAAAATAAGATAAAAGATAGATTTCGCTTAAAAGTACCAAACGGAAACATGAATCGTGGAATACAGATGATAGTCTAAATTTTTTTGTCATGTATTAGATTATAGCCAATAAAAATCGCAACTTTGAAATCGCGTTTGTGGTATAAATGGAATTTAATGAAAGGAGGGAAATTATTTTCGTGATATTTCAGGTCAACAAAGACCTGATTCGAAGAAGCAGAAAATATTACGATATTTATTTGCTCATCGAAACAAAGTGCTAATATCTAAGAGGAAAGAGACGAGAACTATACGTAGTTTCTTTCGATCGGTGTTGCACGACGTTCTCCTAACGCGCATAAATCCTTTTTACGGCAAATGTTTGAACACTTTCGCGAGTCATTACGTGTAAATCAAAACACGATAAATCTTTCCACGAGAAGTGTCACAGTTCCGTTAAATTGAACGCGTCTTCGAGGCACGTTTTATCGACGTAAAATCGCGGGTCTACAGGAAACTTTCACGCCGATAACCAGGCTCGATTAATCGATTCGTTCGCCCTTGCGAGAGATCAGTTGGAAAGGCAGGAGTCGGCGATTATGACGGAGCAATTAGTTGGATAAACCCTCGTCGAGAAATTAAGTCTCAATTTCCTTACTACATTCTAGTTTTCCTCTACCTCTGTTCGTCTTCGGCGCTCTAAAAAAAAGAAAAAAGAAAGAAAGAAAATGAGGAACGACGAGGCGTGAAGTGACGTGGATCTCCCTCGACGCGACTAATCTCGACGAATAAAAATCCAATTTCGAAGTTCCCGCGGCACAAACGAAGTTCCAAGGAAATTTCTGCCCTCTTGGATACCACACCACCACCACAATGTGAGTTCACGTCGCGCGCGACTTGCGTTCCGACTTTCCCTCATAAGCTATGCATAGAGACGCGTGCTACGGCTGTCGATGTCGCGACGCGAACGCCACGGCATTTTCGCAACAGTCGCGAAGGATTAAAATTTCGCTTTTCTTTAGACTTAAGGAGCTTTCGTTGTTCCATGGTTGTTCCTCGATTCGCTCGATCGATTTCTCCCCGTCCTGTCTAATCACCGTGGCCCTCGCCCCTCGTAATTAATTGCTTTCATAATGCGACACTGTGGGAAATTCGATTAAAAGTTTCCTCGATTTCGCCGGACATCCACGCGACGAGGCAAACACGGTCCTCCGTTTGCGCGAAAATAGCGGCACGGAAATTGATTTTTCCCTCGGGGAGAGAAACCCACGGGACAACGTTCATTTATGCACATCGAAAACGAAGAATGTCGACGAGTTAATTTTCGTGTCTCGTTTAAAATAGTATTCGAAGGCGGTCGTGGTAGTTTTCGAATGTTACGGGACTAACATTCGATTAATACAATTTGATGTTGCACTATTAGAAATTCATTTTTTCGTTTCATAGTGGACAATAATACACGTATGTATCTCGTGTGCAAATGTATTTTTCCAAGCCAGTATTATGCAAGCATATTTTTTTTTCAATAAATGTATGTATTATCATGTACAAGTGTTTGCACAGTTTATACAATTCGATTAAATGTAGTACATTCTCAACTTTTACAATGGAAAAATACTTTTTTATTTCCTGTTAAATTGGAGATTAAAACGAGGCTGCGTGTCAGTTCAAGTTCCAATATTTGATTCCGTGAAATTTATAAAATGTGGCCATGCGTTTGAGACATGATTGTCTGACATAAAATCAGAGATCAAAATTCTATGGTATTATAGAGTCCCATTTATATATTTCAAAAATCTCGAAAATATTTATGGATGGTAATGTATAAAGTGTAAACGAGATTTTAATACTTTTTGATTCACAATCTGTAGCTTCGAATAAGCTTCTCTTATTTTCTTACAAATACTTTTATTAAAAAAAATACATTTGTTTTTGCATCTATACAAATTACAGTATTTGTTGCACAAACGTGTATTTTCTATAAAGCGAATAAACGAAGCGTGATCGTACAATAATTAACAAACGTTACAAGCAATTATCTAACTAAATTTATTTAAATTAAATTCATTTAGTCGTCATTTTTGTTCGCGAAGGCCTGTTCAACGTAATAATCTTTCTCGTGCGAGAACGATATTTGTCTTCATGAAATGATATCTCGCAGCATTCCTTCAGAATGGAAATTTAATTTAAAGTGAAGTCTTTATGAAAAATTGAATGTATAAGAGAAGTGAAATCTGCATTGGCTAGAAATGATTGGGAAAAGCTCATGAAGATTAAGAATAGTTTCTCAGTTGCGGAAGAATTTCCAAGACGATGGGAATGAAACGATATAAAGAGTTTTATATTCGCGAGCTTCTGCGCTATCGTCGAATCAGAAAGCAATTTTTAAGTGGTGGTATAAAACGCTAGGAGAAATTTAATCGTCGCCATCCAGCAGCATTGAAGACAACGACCGGGATAAGGAAAGGAACAACTGGGACGCGGTTAATTCGCGCGATAAAGTCCGACTGACGATGCTTTAATTGCGTCTCGCCTAATTCCATCTCGGGCATCTCCATTGAAAATTTTCTCGAGAACTTGCAGAAACACTGTAAAACGACCCACGACTCACTTCGTGTCTCAGTGGCCGCGCCAAAAGGTTCGTTTCTTTGTGTTATCCGCTACGGAATTACTATTGGCATTACGACTGTTGTTTGCAAATCATACTGAGAAAACTTTGGGAATGTTTTTGAAATTTTATTCTAATTTATAATTTTGAATAATTCAAAAAATTTTGTATTCACTTCTTAGTTCATCGATAGTATCATATATTTTATCAATATAATATATATTTCGCTGTGATTTTTAAATTAGCGATTAAATTAAACGAAATTAGAAACTTCAGAATTAGTTACACACGGTCATTGATGTTCCAATAATGCTATTAAGAGTTATAATTTAAAATATTGAATAAAATTGCGAATGACTTATTCTCGCGAGAAGGGAAAATAATTTGATCCAAAGTCACTTCGAAGATTCCATGAAATATTAAGATTGTGTTATTGACCATCGAGATTGCTGAAACTCACGAGATGATTCTTAAAGATTTCACGTGAACAAATTTTTCATAAATTCTTTAATATCGCACTCAGTTGTTTTTTTTTTTTTTATGACGGAAACACAAAAACTGTCTTAAATGTCTGTTTATGGCAATTTATTAAGCAAAGAAATTTGCATTGGAGAAGTTTAAATGACTTTCAATTACTCTAGTGGAATATCTTCGACACTTGCATTACTTTCGTTTTGTCCACGTTCAGATTAATCATTCTGAATTTAAGATCGTTCAAATCTCAATGACCAATGAAAACCGCAGCAATTGAGAAACACAGAAAATTCGTTATTGCCGGTGTTTCAAAGTTAAATCAGTCACATATGAATTAAACACGTTATACACGGCGCGCAAGGAATTTTAATCAAACCTTTAAAATTGGAAGACCGATTTCATTTCCCAACGGTGTTGGTCGTTATTTAATAATATAATTCCCCACCGGAGAACACGGTGAAAAACTGGTTTTGCCGGGGACTCGTAATATTTCGTGCTCACGGATAAACAGCTTTCATCTCTCGCGAACATCCAGCAGTGAAGTATTCAAACGTCATTAAATCCCAGCCCATCCGTGCGGCGATTTTCCCGTTTTACCGCGTAAAATTTCACGACCGTTCTTCGCACCATGGTCATTTCCCTCCCTTATTGTTCGATAAAACATGTAATTCTAGCGTTTCATTCATCGTTTCAAGAACACACAGACGCGCGGGCAAAGTTG